ATTTGAAACTTCTTATTTACAATCTGTGAGGGGTCTTTAGAAAGTCATCTATCAATTTAAAAATAAAGGCATAAGTATGCATATATCTAAAAAGAAGTTCTAATAAAAGTGATAAGAAAATTGAGATGTTTGTTTCTATTCCATTCTTTTAGTCTTAAAATCTTCCATAGCACATGATATTTCATCAACTACTGCCAACCAACCAGATCCAGGAATCATTGATTTAAATTTTTTTCAACTCAAAGCAAAATCTTTTTTAGGGAGAATCCACATTTTTGTAGCTCTGTAGCTCTGTCCTATTATTGTCAATTAAGTAATCTTGAGATTTCAACTATTAGAAGATAAACTATTGTATTCATTTATGCATAACATAAATGTTATTATTCATGTTATAATTAATTTGCATATTTGGGGAATAATTTTAGACAAAGGAAATAAATGTTTAAATACAATAAAATTTTTAAGGTCTGTGAATAAGGCAGTTCGTTTAGAATTCAGCAACTGGATAAAGTATCTCTTTTTTGAAAAGTAATGTGCTTCATCTTTTCTGATTACAAGAATTAGAAAACGCACTAATAGTCTTTCTCTTTCTCACTTGGCTCCCAGGAAGCTCAGGGCTGAACTAAGAGTTCATTTATAATAAATGCTTTCCTGCTCATACTTAAGCATAGTCTCTTCATTTTTACATGATTATTTTTTTTTTAGTTCATGGTTATTTATTTCAATTTTAAATATTCCAATATATCTAAATTTACATTTATATGTGGAAAGAGACAGTGAGCTCATTAATTTCAACAAGAAATTCATTCCAAACCATTTATTGTGCATCCACTATGTGTCATTCCCTTCTAGAAGATGGGGATGTAGATCATTTTATTTATTTATTTTTTTAAATATATTTTTATTGATTTCAGAGAGGAAGGGAGAGGGAGAGATAGAAACATCAATGATGAGAGGGAATCATTGATCAGCTGCCTCCTGCACGCCCCTACTGGAGACAGAGCCCACAACCCGGGCATGTGCCCTTGACCAGAATCGAACCCGGGACCCTTGAGTCTGCAGGCCGACACTCTATCCACTGAGCCAAACTGGCCAGGGCTGTAGTTCATTTTAAAAGATGATTTTCATGAGATAAGTAGATAGATCTAACTCTATCCTTGGGGGGTGGGGGGGGGGCAGGAATTGTCAATCAAACCAACATGAAGAAAATGGGTTTTGTTTTTTTAATTCCTTAAAAGAAAAGCCTGCAAACATCAATTTAACCCTCACAAGGAGGACGTTAAAATAGTGTTTTGACCACTGCTTATAGGGAAACTGGTTACTTAAGTATGCAATCTTCTTCTCAAGTTCCTGCAATAAAAGCAGCCTTCATCCTTGGGCCTGTGCTAAGAACTAAGAACACCACTCATGAAATAAAAGCTCTTACATAAATTGCCCCTTTAATAATAGAGATCGATTTAAACATTCTAACCTTCCAGAAAGGGGGCTTTGGGTCTTAGATTTCCTACCTCGGAACTTCTGATGAAACAAATAAGTAGCACCTATTGGAGCAAGCCAAGAAATACTCTGCACTTTGTGTGGCTGACCAGGCGGGAATAATTGTTATCTGGTAAAGCAGTTCCCTTTTATAGATGACTTCAAGGTTGGAGGGCCTAAATTTGCCCTTGTTTTCAGCTCTGTTTTGCTCTACTGGCTTGAAAATATGTGTCACACAGTGACCTTAGGTGGGCCTGCCTGATGCCAGCCTGATGCTGAGAAAGGTACTGAAATTTACAAGGATTTTGCCCTTGGCCTGCACTCTCAGGGTGCAGTATTCTCATACACACTCACCACAGCCTCCTAGTTAGGGAAGCAGCCCAACAAGGCTGCCTGCAGATGCATGGTATGTGCCGTCTGCCCCAGCAATTGAAAATAGACTAGTACTTCTCAGGGCAGCCGTCTTGTCTTGCCTTTGCACCAGACACTGTGTAGCAATCATAATCTTTCAGACAGGGCAAATATTGGACTTGATATGAAGTACGTGCATGTAGGCTTCTTAGATGAACAACTTTCTTAAAATAACAGAGCTGCCCGTGTTTCACTGAGAAACTTTTTTAAGTGGTGTCATGCTTTGGTGACTTTCTAAGAGAACCCAAACACTGGAGTGACCAGAAACTTTTTAAGTAATTGGAAGCTGCACCTCAAAGGAGTCAGAGAAGCCACAAATGAAATGTGACCATTGATCTTGAAAAATCAAAGTGCTCTAATGAAGAGAAAACCAGATCAAGGAGAATGTTAAAAGACCCTACGTTTGTTCCCTAAATGCTGCAAGGGGAATTTTAGAACTGCAGTAATCACATCATTCATTTGTGCAACAGAACTCAAATTTGTGGGACAAGATAAGCCTCAGTCAAGATCGCCAAACTTAGGAATACAGGTGCAAAAACCGTAACTTTATTGTATCAAACGGGAGGGGGAAGAGGAGGACCAGGGCCACTGCGAGTCAGATGTTTCCAGATCTTGGCACCTGACACCTCACTTTCACACCCTTGAGTTAAATCACATTCAACACAAAACACCCGCGAGATGACAAAACAACCCGCGAGATGACCAATTTCGGGAAGGCTCCCGAGTCTCCTCTCCTCCGTTCCCTTTAGGTCCCTAATCCTGGGCTTTCTTTCAATGGCATTTCGTTTCTAGAAAAGTCCCTCGTACCTTTCGGTCTAATTATCTCACTGTGCAAATCTTTGAAAAGGAAAGAACTGGTTTTGCTCTCCGCGCGGATATCTTTTCTCCGGGCTCTTAGCAAGCCTTCGTCCAACGTTCGCTGAAAAGGATGTCGCTCAGCGGCGCGGAGGCTTGAAATCCCTTGGTTCTCTCATCTTCTCTATTCGTTCTGCCCGCTTACACCACCCCTACACCTCCCTCTCTTACCCTCTACAATCCACCACCGTTTTTACCTGTGCTGGGCGCTTTCAAGAGTTTCCTCCCGCTCCTTCTCCCTCTGACCCGGGAGGCACTTTCAGTGGGAGACAGACCAGACAATGATTCTGACCAGGGGACAGGCGGATGGAATACTTGAGGGGAATAAAAGACCTAATGGATACATTTCGCGTTGCCTAATCGCGGTTAAGTATTTTGTAGATAAGCGAGCATATTCATCATTTCACGGTGTTCGAAACACCGATGTCTTTTGCCCTATGCGTTCGTCTATTTAACAGACTTACATATCTCTTACCATGTACCAGAGAAGAACTGGTAGAATAAACACTTGCAGAATATGATCCTCTCTACTTATAAAACAGTTTAAGCGACATTAAATCCATGTGTACTTTTCGAACGTCCCTGCTATATTTATATTTTTATAACACGGTTACAGCAGTTAAGGCTACCAAGAAAAATACGGGAAAACTATACCCAGTTGCTACTTTATTGCAAGTAAACCTTTTCCCTAGTTGCAATTTTTCGCAATGATTACAATTAAATGCCCCAGTATGGTGGTGGTGGTTGGGGAGGGGGAGGAGGGAAGTCATCTCTTTTTCTTTCTTTCTTTCTTTCTTTTTTTTCAGCGACGGTCTCAAGTTGTGACCCTGACGTTTGGAAGCGACCGCTAACTTGCTCCCATGGCGAACGTGAGTTGCACCTGCAGACATTCGCTTTCAGAAGAACAAGCCGCCGCAAGCCGTGAAGGTCGGGTTGGCGCGTTCCCCTGTGGCCCGTGCGCAGTGGCCGCTGGCCCATCCTCCCGCGAGCGCCCCGCCCTTGACCGTGGGCCGCGCGGACCAGGAACCAGGCGGCGCCGTGGGAGGTCGTCGCGGGCGGGATGCGGGCCGGCTCCGCTCCGCGCGCTCAGGACCTGGGCGCTGCAGCGGCGCAGAGGCCCGCAGGCCCGCGCCGGCCGGAACCCGCCCTGAAACCGACAGCCGAGCCGGGGGGCGGGGTGGAGGGGGTGTCACCGCCCCTGGCGGCCCCACAGTCCTGAGCTGACCCGGTGCCGCCCCGCCAGGCCTCGCCCGGTCCCCGCCGACTCTGTGCTTTGCCCGGGTTAAGTTTCAGCAGTCAGGATGGGACGTTTCGGGTTTCTGTTCACACGGTTATTGCAGGCACCGCCGCAGGGATGCAAAAAGGGAGAGGAGGGGGTGGGGAGGGGGGTTGCGTTTTAATGCGAGCTCAGCACGCTGGCTGCCGGTCCTTCCCGCTCTCTCCCTGCCCAACTCCCCCGCCCTCGCCGGGCCCGGTCCTCCACGTCGCGTCCTTTCCTCCTCTCCTCCCCGCCCGGCGCGGGTCCGGTGGAGGGAGGGGGCAGATGGTCACAGGGGCGCCCCGAGCAGATCCCCAGAAAAAAATGAACCGGTCCGCGGCGGAAGGTGGTGGTGACTGCTAGAGGCCCCTTTCTCGGAGGCTTTTAACCACCCCGCACGGAGCCGTCCCGGCGCAACGAGTGGCGTCTCCGGCTGGACCCCCACCGACCCGCGCCCGCCTCCCGGTACCGCGGCTCCCGGGCGAGCAAACGGACCCCGGCTGCCCTCGCGGAGACACATCGGCGTAGCCGGTTCGAAAGTCAGAGCATGGAAAGAGGCGCTGGAAAACACGGTTTGAAAGCGCATCTAGAGACTTTACAGCCCGCGGTGTCCAATGCACTAAAAACTGGACACGAGTTCGGACTCTAGAAAACAAATCCTATTTCCAGAGCGCTTTTTCGTGTCCGGGATTCTAATTACACCTGCCTCTGCGACTGCGCATGATCAGGGCAAGGGGAGAATTGCCGTTATCTGGAGAACCAAAGCCCGAAAAACTCGGACTTGAAAAACCACTAACACTGGGTCCTGAAACACCCGCGTTATTGCCCTAGTCCTTCCGGCCACCAACGTAAACACAGCTCCAGGCACGGTCTACTCAGCGGGATCCACGATCCACAGTCCCGCGGGGCGGGGGGGGGGGATGGAAATAACTGATTTACAGCAAATCAAACATCGTGCGGGGCCAACCTCACCCCCTCCGGACCGTCAGGGGTTATGTACCTCGTCGGGGAAACTCGCGTCCTTATCTGTTCACAGCCCGGAGGCCGCAGCAGTAGCCTCGGGAGTTGCCGGGGGAGAAAAAAAAATAACTTTGATTTAAGGTTTTCAAAAACCCCAGAGGGCAAATGTGACCGCCAGGGCCAGCCAGTCGGCAGTGTGGGTCCTGACCAGGGACAGCCGAGCGGGGCGGCTCCCGACGTCACACGCTCCCGCTCACACGCAGCCACGCGCTCGGGTTCCTCTTTAAACCCAGGCCCGACACTTGCCCGGCGGACGGCGGGGTGACGAGGAGGAGGAGGAGGGCCGCAGCCCGAGGCCCCCGCGCCCGCCCCGCGCCGGCCCTCCTCGCGGCGCCCGCGCCCGGGGCTGCGCGCTTCCCTCGCTGCAGACGGCCACCTGGCGCTCGCGCTCGCCGCCGCCCGTGCCCGCCCGCGCCCGCCCGCGCGCCGCTCCTGCGCCCCAGGTGTGGAGGCGGGTTCCCACGCTTCTGCCCCAGCCTGGAGGCGGGCGAGGGCAGGGGCGGCCCACCTCTCCGCCCCAGCCAATCGCGGGCCACGCCGGCCCCGAGGAGGCGGGGCCCGCCGGGGCGCCGGGGGCCGGCGGGAGGGAGGTGCGCGCGTGGGCCCCGCCCGCCGGGGGGGCGTGTCCGGCGCCGGTCTTGCCGCAGAGCTGAGCTGCGGCGTGGGAAACAGCCCGGAGGAGCCGACCGCGCCGCCGCGGGAGCCGCGCCTGCCGGGCCCGGGGAGGGGGTGAGGAGGCCGGCAGGGAGGTCGCTGTGCCGCGCTGGGCATCCGTGTCTCCGGCCGGGCTGCGCCCCGCGCCCTTTTCGCCGCGATGAAGCGCCCCTGCGAGGAGACGACCTCGGAGAGCGACCTGGACGAGACCATCGACGTGGGAAGCGAGAACAATTACTCGGGGTGAGCGCGCGCTCGGAGCCCGAGGTGTCGGGGAGCTTTGTGTGGGACGGCTCCGTGGGAATCGCCAGGCTCCTTTCCGCGGCGTCCTCACGAAGAGGGGGAAGTTTTGCCGGAGAAACGTTGAGTGGTGGGCGCTCGGGAACGTGCGTGGAGTGGGGCGAGGGAGGTGGGTTTTCACTCTAGGGGTGCAGCGCAGCGGACGGGGACGCCTGAAAGTGCGGGAGTTGGCCGGGATTGTTGCCCGGCTGTCTGCACCCGGCCGGCCGACAAACAGGTCCCGGCGACGGGCGACGCCCCCGCCACTGAAGCTGCCGAAATGGGCCAAGAGCAAAGAAAAATTGGTGTTTTTAAAAGAGACTAAAAAGCTAAGTTGCTTTATGGAGAAATTGAAGCGACGTGCAGTGTCCCCGCTAAGCAGGGTGCGCGCTCCGGGTCGACCATGTGTGTCTTGGCTGACAGCAGAGTGAGTGACAGATGTAAGGATCGTTTCGGGCGTTACTCCTTTGACTGCCGGTTCTTAAGTCTGGGAAAGATCGGGGTCGCGATCACAGAAGCCAGACCTCCACTTCCCAGTGGCAGGGGGAGATTACCGAGGCATTTTAGTGCCGGGCGGGTCAAATGATAATTGCTTCTAATTGGCATCCCCAGAAGCACCTTAATTATTTATCTGCAACTGTCACTCAAAGAGCAAAATTCTTCCTACCTTTTGGAAAACTTTCAATGCTGTTTGTTTTTCTTTCTTTCTTTCTTTTAATGCTATTCTTCTAATACATGCAAACCAAAGCCTGTTATCAGCAAGAGCAAAGACATTTACCTGAAACATTGTTTACAAAGTATCTTCTAATTATTAAAGTGTCCGTCATCTTAAAAAATAAGAACAGAAAAAACAGAAGATGCCCTGTGAAAGGCGAAACCAGATGAGAATGGGTGGGAATGAGGAGGACATTTAATTCAGAAATAAGATCCAGAAGTGAGAAGATGAATTACTAACAACCTGATCTGTGCAACATTTCTAAAATGGAAGAGCAAATAACAGGAACCCTGGAAAATCTGAGAACATAAAGAATTATAGAATCCATGAATTATGAAGAGTAACAGATACAAACTAGAAAGGGTGGCAAGTATTCTAAGTGGCAAAATAATGATTTGATTGAACTCTCAGTATAAAATAATCTTTTCATTAGGAAACTCAAGATGATGTGCAGCTCCTAGAGGTTTCGTTTTCAAAGTAAAACCCTTACCTGGTAGCTGATCTGATTTTAATTTTCTTATCGGTGGCATTTTTACTTTGGAGCGTTCTTTTGGAAGATTCGGATACAAAACATTAAATTTGTCATTTTTTTCCCCGTTGTGAGATATGACTAATTGAAATAGTAAGATAACGTGTGTTTATTTTAAAGATTGCATCTAGAGACAACCGTGTGACATGTGATGGTTGTCTATCTGTTTGGTAGTGGTGCTAAACATGGCCTTTATTTTAAAATAGCTTTGCTTTGTTCAGTATGTTTGAACGGAAAGAGGAGGAGGATGCTACTAGAGACTAGTTGACTTTTAAGAAACATTTATGAGTGGCACTAGGAAGTACTAATATCTAATTTCTCACCCTGACTGCCCATAATTATTTTACTAGGAGACTTAATAAAAGTTTAGGGATGTTTTTGCCAATGGATTTGGCATCTAAATTACTCATTAAAACTTTTCTTTTTTCAAGCCACCATTCAGTCCTACCTGAAAAGAGATATAGGCTGGAAGCAAAGTATGTAAAGAGTAAAGCAAGAATTAAGAATAGAGTAACACAGATCTCAACTGAGAAATCACCCTCAATGTTTAATGGGTGGCATCAAGTACTCAGAAGAAACTATTGTTATGTTAATGAAGCACCTGACATACTCTTCCTATTTCATAGGCAAAGTTCTAGCTCTGTGATTAGATCGAATTCTCCAACAACAACATCTCAGATTATGGCAAGAAAGAAAAGGAGAGGGGTATGTGATTTTTTTTCTTTTTATTTCATGGTATGCAGCCTAATGTGTAGCAGTTGTTTTTTTTCATCATGAGTAATTTTATCATTTGTGTATTCATAAACTTTTGTTTTGCTTTCTTTGGGATAGATAATAGAGAAAAGGCGTCGAGATCGGATAAATAACAGTTTATCCGAGTTGAGGCGACTGGTGCCAACTGCTTTTGAAAAACAAGTAAGCTATCCTCACCCCTGACCACCCCAACCAAAAAGCTCAAAAAATCTGATTCTCTCATCTGGGAAAGCCTGTTAAAGCTTTTTAAAATAATGGTGTATGTGCCCTGATCTGGCACAGAGCAGTGATTTCAGTAAAATGCTTTGTTGTGGCAAAACTATTAAAAACATAATCCATCGTGAAGTTGAAAAACATTTCCATTCTTGGGCTTGTTTTCCCCTTAAGGGTAACAGTGTTCATGCTTCCTCTGTTCTTTCTATGAAGACCAGTGGTGGTTTTGTTTAAAACCAAGATGTATGTGGTATTCTTTAAAAAAAAAAAAAAAAAAAAAAGAAAAGAAAAGAAGGATATCATGTGTGAAATTTCATTTTTGTTTCAAACAGTTTAAGAAAAATAAGCTTTTTATTTTAAAAATTACCAAAGCCCAGGAAGTAACATCTCCAGCTCTTTTTTCTAAATAACTTATACAAATACAACTTATTTACCAACCCACATGGTTTCATTTTTAATCCCTGGGTTAACAGAATAATGCTCGATTTGGAGCATCTTTTTGGAAGTTTGGTAAAAATCAAACTAGCCATATGTCCTTTTCAGAATTCACATATTCCTTTACCAAAAAAAAAAAAAAAAAAAAGATTTTTCACACTGAATAGAGTAGGAAGCCAAATATGTAAATATTTCTTTGTCGTTTTAGAAAAGTTTTTCCTCCTGCCACCATGGCTAATGGCATAGATTTCTAACAGCATCTTTCAAAGAATGTGGCATCATAACCTTGTTGAAAATACTTTTAATTTAATTCAAATAGAATATAAGACAGCAATTGTTTGTTTATTTCATTTTGTTGTTTATTTCATGAACCAAACTAACATTACAAAGCCCTCAGAAATTATCCAGAAACTACAATTTTGTTATTAGTCACGTTCACTGAAACTACTGTACATCTTCATGGAAAAATTGAGCACTGACAGAAGTACAAGATGTAATATGCTATTGATTACATATGTTTAAGAGAAACACAGGCACCCATTCTATGTGCTGAAACTGCCTTTGATTAGGTAAATGTAATGTGGAAACAGTAGTTTGGATTAGTAGCAGTAGGCTGAAACGGAAGATATCATTATTTAGTGATATTTTTACTTTGAGTACTGAAATACCTAGTTATGAGGAACCATCAGTTTGGTGTGGTTTTTGTTGTTGTTCTTTTTCTTTCTTTCTTTTCTTAAATGTCAATTTAAAACAAACCTTAAAAGCAAACCTCAGCTGTTTGGCAGCTAGTGACCATAAACACAGACTTTCCCATTTGCAGAGCTTGGCTACCAACCCTTGGTGAGCTGGCCCTGTCACAATATGATTAGAAGGGTATTTAGTCAAGCAGTTTAAATACCTGGCATTGAGCTGATAATTTTCACAAAACAAGTAACACATAGGAACCTGAAATAAACTTCTATTTCCTCTTCTGAGAAAAACATATTGGTTTAATTATTTAGCTCCTCCAGGAAATTAGAAGCCACCCACAGCACTCTGAGACAGTTTGAGGTGGCACTTTTTTCAATTGGTTTCCAGAAGTTGCCTTATTTTAAAAAGTAGGGACATAAAAATACATTTCAAAGACAATTTTATTAAGAACTATTTTAAAGGGTTTAAATATCCGTACATGTTGCTGATGCTTACTAGATAAGTAGTAAATTATGCTTTCTTATTTATGATCTTGAAATTCACAGTGACACCTGCTGGTAATTATTGGAAAACATATTAAAAGTCTTCCCTTTTTTATTTTTGGTTCTGCTTAGCCGAGGTCTAGTATGAATTAAAAACTTAGTAAAAATTTTTATTTTTATTTTATTTTTCTAGCTGGAAAGTCAAAACATTTTATTTTAAAATGTTATAAAAGTATTAAGAGAGATATGTCCATTATATAACCAAGAATGTTAAGCCGAACCGGTTTGGCTCAGTGGATAGAGTGTTGGTCTGCGGACTGAGGGGTCCTGGGTTCGATTCCAGTCAAGGGCATGTACCTTGGTTGTGGGCACATCCCCAGTAGGGGGCGTGTGGGAGGCAGCTGATCGATCTCTCTCATCGATGTTTCTAACTCTATCCCTCTCCCTTCTTCTCTGTAAAAAAAATCAATAAAATATATGTATTTTTAAAAAAGAA